GTTTACGGTTTAAGGTTTAGGGTTGATTGTTGAGGGCAGACAGAATGCAGCAACCATGTAGATATTATATGCATCTGGGCCGTTAAACCCGGAACCCTGCACCCTTCTGCAACTAGCCCCCCATGAAAAAACCCTGGGAAACCTTACAACCACCGTGTGATCCACGGTTCAGGGTTTAGGACGGCTGACCTAGACCCGAGACGATTATAACCCAAATATGCACGCTTAAAGGACCATAAGGGCCCTATTAACGTGCCATTTCGGGGGGGGGGGGGGGGGGNNGGGTCCTAGCATGGCAAAAGCTGCCAAAAGGAATCTTCCAGTCATGGCAAAGAAGCAGCACGATAGCCTGGTGCTTCGTCAAGCCCTGTAGGACACCCGGATGCCGGGCGTTGAGACACCAGTGCTTCCTGGCCGTTGAAGATCGCTTGTTTCGGCTGGCAACTCGGGTGCTGCCATGAGATAGAACTGTGAATAGGTTTTAGCGGCATAGTATACAGGGTTTAGGCTCTTTGGGGTATAGGGATTGCAGAGGGACGATTCCTGCATGATCAGACCCGTCTGTCCTACTAGGTCAGGCAAGTTTGGGATTGAACTTCGGAGCTTGCCACTGGGGGCTATGTAACTCTACCGGGCCTACCGTCACGCTGGCTGCCCTTCTGAAGCACCGCGACACCCTGATGGAGACTCCGGAAGCTCAATTTGCAACAGCACCGCCCCTCACCCAAAAACTGCTCACGCTGCAGCCCGAGGATCACCACCGGTGCATGGGTGTTATTCGACTCCTCACCTAAGGGAGGGGATTTTGGGTGTGGGGCTTCGGAGCTTCAACCTTCAAACGTAGGGGACGCAATAAATAGAAGAGGGTTTTTGGGCTCCTTGTTAATGTACTTATAATCAGGAACCCTGAGGAGTAATATCGGTAAGTATTTCGGCTTCTATATCAAGCTCATTGTGTGTTCAAGGCTTGGCTGGGGTCTTTGTGGCAGGCACGGGGTGCAGGCACCAGGCACGTCTTCTCAACAAGTATATACTGAACGTGCAGATGTTCGCGACCTGTGTTACTCGATTTTGGCATGGGGGCTTAACCTGGCGTGATAGCACAGACCCCCGAATATGAAACACCAAACCCCAAGACTCGCATCCCAAGCGCAACAAACTTAAGACCCTCAAATCATATCCTCACGCCCCCTGACGGAAGGTACCACAGGCACTCTCGTGACGTGCTCAGAAGTTCGGGGCTTCGGGCCGCAAGCTTGCACTCCTTTCGGATCAGACTTTAACTTTTGGGGTTAGGCTTGAGGCTCCTCAACCGACAGGAGGGTCAGCTCAGTAGCATCGGGGTTGATGCTTCTGCTCGATGTATTTCAGTGGTATTGGGATCAGATGGGTTTCTTGACCCTTCGCCGCAATAAATATATGATGCATGCTTTCCCTGTTATGGTCACTTGAACCGAACTCCTGAACAAGAAGCGGATACTTTCGCCGAGCATAATCCGACTGACCTTCAAGTTGTCTCATGTTGACTTGAGCAGCCACATGCACAATCCTACCTGAAAGGACCTGAAAGGACAACAAGGCCTGAGGGCCGGGGCTTGGGAGGCTCTTTGGCAGCCCTTCTCGTACATGCTGAGTTACAAACGGACGCAATGAGATGTGGCATGAAGGATTTGTCTCTCGGAGTCGCCGCCAAGTTGCAGATGTACGTGGCGGACTCAATAGCACGGCTGAGGACCTAGTTGCGGTGGCTACAAGTTGAGATTCTCTGAAAAGAAACGAACCTGCAATCTCATCCCTTGAAGCATCGATATTGACTCCGAACAGCCTTTGCCGCCGTGGTAGTGGTGCTAAGACTAGTCACAGCATTAAAGCAGTAGTAGCAGCAGTAGTAGTAGTGGTAGTCGTAGTCGTAGACGTAGTTCTAGTGACAGTAGTGCTGGTAGTGGTAGTGGCAGTGACAGGGGTAGGTGTAGTGGTAGCGGTATTGGTAGCGTGGTGGCAGTGGTAGTGGCAGTAGTAGCGAGTAGTGGTAGTAGTGGTAGTAGTGGCAGTAGTAGTAGTAGTAGTAGTAGTAGTAGTAGTAGTAGTAGTCGTGGTGGTGGTGGTGGTAGTAGGAGAAATGGTGTTAGCAGTAGTAGTCGTCGTCGTAGCAGTAGTAGTAGTGGTAGTAGTAGTAGTAGTAGTTGTTGTTGTAGTACCAGCAGCAGTAGCAGCAAGAAGAGGACAGGGCCAGGAGGGAGCAGCAGCAGTAGTAGAAATAGTAGAACCAGCATGGGGGCTGTCGTCGTGGCCATCATCTTAATAGACATAGTCGTCGTCGCGGTGGTACTAATTGTTGTGTTTTTCGTTACCGCAGAGCATTTTGTGTTGTCATCGCGCGGCAACACTAAACCTTCTACTGCTGCTGCTCCAGTGGCTTACTAATGCGCCTAGGACTCCTGGGCACAGCAACTTTGTATAGCTTCATGATCAGAAGCACTGCCAAGGCTTTGGATGCTGTTGCGCGAAACCAAGAGGGCAAGGGTACAAATACTAAATGTATGCACCCCCCGCCCCCCCCCCCCACACACACACACACACATACACTCAAAACCTGTAAAGGACAAAGACGAAACTGTGAAACCCCCAAACCGCTGGAAGTTCGACCAAAGCTGCACGGCATGGATACAAGAAAGGCAAGGGGCTGAAGTGAAGACGACATCGAACTTGAAGTTGTGATCCTTCCTGATACCACATGTACTTGATGTTTTTGGCGTAGTTGGTTGGGGCCTGAGGCTTGGGGTGATGGCTTAGGCTTTATAGGGCTGAGAGAGTCGGCGTAGGACTTAGCACTTCAGATTTGCCCGTGTTGAGTAGCGCTTGATTCTTTAATACGCCGTGTCCGAGTGTCAGATCAGGCTTTCTATCTTCGGTTTTGCCGATGGGCTAACCTTTCTGGTCTGCGTTAAGATTGGGAAGTTATATTAGCAGCTGGGCATTGAAGAATTTATCAAACGTGATGAAGCCCTTGTTTGCGTCAATGGTCTGCATGTGAGGCACAACATTTGTGTGCAGCTTCTTTGTGCAATGTTTTCAGGGTTTGCGTGGAATTCCTGATGGACGAATCTTAGCCTAGAAGGGCTTAAGGATTTAAGGTTCAGTTACCACGTAGGCATTCTCATTGTGCGAGGGAAAAAGGCCCTACTATGCAGGGTCATTTTCGTCATAAAAGCTGGGGACGTAGAGCTAACCCTAAACCCTAAACCCTAAACCCTAAACCCTAAACCGCAAAACCTTAAGGGATCAGATTTGTGTGATTGGGCTCAGGACTTTGGGGTGTAGTGTGTGCGGAGTAGATGATTAGGGCCGAAGGGGTGTGGGGTTTAAGTACTAGTTTGGGCTTTCTGGTTTAGGCTTTAGGGTTGAGGGTTCAGGGCCATTTTCTGCGGCATGCGGGACTTCTGTGGGACTTTACGTCATACGGTACTGTGTGGGGAAAGTCAGCTGTTAGTGTGCCAGTGTCTGAAGTCCAGGGTGGTCTGAAGCCTAAAATGCCAAACCAGGTTTGTTGCAGATTGGCGTGAGGACGAAACTGTCAGGCTTTGAATGCACGCGCAGCAGATGCTTTTTCCCAGGGGCCCGAGTTGAGGCAGGTCGATGTCGGTTAATATAATATACGAGCCATACAAGCAGTAAAACAAAACGAGAACAGGTATGAACGGCATAGATAGCAGATAGCAATACTGGACACTATGTTGACACACACACACACACACGCGCACCGGCAGTTTAACAGGAAAAAAACGTGAACAGAACAAACTGACGCATCTAATTCTCGATCGTCCTAAGTGCCAGCCAAGCGTCAAGAAGCGACCTGCCTTCTTCGCTTGCATCACCCCCTTCCTTACTTGTCCAGTATCATGGGAAACTAAAGCTGAACCTTGGGATTCTAGAGGGATGAGAGTACCCAGAGAGGTTAAGGGTTACCTACTCTACTTCTAGGCTTCCTGTCGCTTGGAGGCTTCGGAATAAAGGCTTTTGGAGATTGGGGGGGGAGGTTTAGGGCAGTTTAGGGTTCAGGGGTTTAGGATTTAGTGTTTAAGGGTTTAGGGTTTGGGGGTTTAGGATGTAGGACTTTCGGGTTTAGGGCAGCTTGGAGGGTTTCGTCAGGGTCTACAAGGCTTCACCGCAGCTTTGGGGTTGAGGGCAAAAACCCTCCGACCCCCAAACCCCAACTCGTTTCTCGGACTTGCAACCCTGGGCTCTTTATTTTAGGGGCCTGGACAATTTGACAAGGGCTTTGGGGTACATGGTAGTATATTCATGTATAATCTGTTAAAGAGTAAAAAAAACACTGAAGAAATGATGTGAATAAACTATCCAGACCCCGATATTAACGGCTGAGGCTCCCCACATAAGGCTTTCTGAGGCCGCGGTCACAGAGGAAAAGGTTGATGCCGAGGATAACATGTAATATAGAGGTCTACACTAACGGCTTATAGGGTTTAGGGTACACATCTTGATAACTTGCCCCAAAATCTTCAGGTCATTGGGGCCCGTACATTTTATTGCACTTGCAGTTCGTGTTCATGGGGGTTCGCTCTCATGCGGCCAAGACTACAGCCCTATCCCCATAAACCGTGGGCAACATCGAGGGCTTTGGGGGTTTTGGGGCTCAGGGTTCCGATGGACCATCTTTGTTGCACCCTGAGGTTAGCTCTGGAGGCTCACACGGCCCAGAAACCCAGAATTCAGAAGCAAACTCGAAGCGACGCATCCCCCTGCTCTAAACCTTAAGCCCTAAAGCCTGCCGGCAGAGGCTGTTGAGAAGGTTGTCTTCGAAATGCCGACTGTGCCACTTTGGCAACGGAGTGCATCCAACTACGAGTTGTTGGATTATCGCCCTCTGGGCTCATGCGAATTTTGGAACCCGCGGCTTTGCTAAGGGCACAAGGCCAGAGGATGCAGAAGATGAAAGTGTTGGTGCTGACAATGTGAGTACGAATTTGGTGGTGACGATGGCGGTGACGACCACCATGGTGAGGGTGACACGGCTAACGACATTTCACTCTTGGAAAGGCAGATGTGGGTTATGAACTTAACGTGGGTTTAGGGTTTAGGGTTTAGGGTTTAGGGTTTTGGGTTTAGGGTTTAGGGAAGGATGCCTGCCTCAGTAAGTACTACTCCACCCGCATAAATCTTGCACAGCATCCCGAAGGGTCGATGTACCCAAATCGTATATACTTTTGGCCCCCAAAGTACCTATAGGGGCTACTTTTAAGGCCAAGGTATATACTAATTGGGTACATGGACACTTGGCCCCTAAAGTACCTATATATATATATATATATATATACATATATATATATATATATATATATAGGGCTACTTTTGAAGCCA